TCACTTACACCTTGTATAAGTCCCCAGTTCTAGCGATCGCCCTTGGTGCCTCGCCTCCTCGTCTCGACACCAACCATGTGCTTTCCAGTAGCCCATTGTCGAATAGGCTCTAAAACCGGTTTGAAATTCAAAACTGTCAAAGGTAAAGAGTTCAATGGTAGTTTTTACAGACCCGTAGAATTTCTGTCACATCGTCCACCATACCCGGACGATCGCAATCAAACAGAGTGCCACCTTCTGCCATGCATTTGTGCTAAATAATCGCCCAATTAGATGGCAGATAATCAATGGAGACGAAAGAACTACCTTCCGACTGCATCAGTCGGAAATCGGAAATCGAGAATCCTAAGAATGATCGTTCAAGGGTGCAAACTTAACCTACTTCACCTTAACCTGCTTCTACTCAAGAACGACAAGGAAACCCAGAGCAACGAGACCAACCTGAGCTTCCACAGACGTCAATGGCCGAATGAAAGGCTTAACACAGACGTCTCCGGAAGAAGTCCACGATGTTGGACATCGAGATTCATCTGAAATAAAGACCTTTATGAGAGCTCCTACAGATCGAAATGAATTCTGCTCGATCCCCAGATATCTCTCAGCTTCAGAAAAGGAATTTTCATGGGCCATTGGAGGTTATCGACTCTGGTTCGATGACTGGGACCATTTCTATTATGAGCGTTTATCGCATTACGAATGTGGGGTCATCAACGGAGCTCAGTGAAGAACAGCGCATTTACGGCTAAATCTATTACAACTAACCTGCAATTATAGCCGGATTACCAAACCGACTGGCATTAATTAAATGGGGAAGAGCCCAATGACGAACTGAGACAAGTGCGTGTGAAACTCCCTTGGTGAATAGAGCCCGCGATTTCATGAAGAAAAACGATCGATAAGTGGGATTATTGATTTTATGTGGTAGGTATCCTTCAAAGATTTGATTACTGATGTGCGGCTACTGTCAAAGGTCAAAAGCTAGCACTCGACGACCAAAGAGCTATTGACATAGTGCATCTCGATAAACCAATGGATATACCGCGGCCAAACATAACCATCTATGATCACTGAGAATGTTGCAGAAAACATAATTGTTTACAATAAAAAACACTCACAAATATCGACATTACAACTATAAATTCAACAAATATTCAAAGCTCTCCACCACGTGCTACCCGAAAAAAATTCCCGTTTCAGGAGATTACTTGACATAAATGAAATGGGATTTTTCGCGGGGTGAAATATCCGATCTCATAAATGCTGCGAAAAGCAAATGGGTTCTGATCAACGAAAAAAATGCAGAGGCCAGACATCGGACCTCGGTGCAGTGCCATTCAACTGAAATGGGCATTAGAATCATCTACAGACCTTTAAGCCTCTCCACTTCACGATAGGTGTTGAAACTGGAGTGTCTCTTTGTTCTCCTAGCCGTTCGTAGCCCGAGAGCCTCTTGGCTTTTGCCAATTGGATCGAGTACATAGCCGATTTCAGATTCAATCCTAGTAAAACCTTCTGTCCTCCCGAAGTTGGTTGGACCAAATTGGTTCAAGTTAAGAGGATGTACTATCATATACTTCAGAAAACCTCTCGATGGCACTTTGCAGGATAAGACCCTATCAATACATGCTGCGATTTCAGATAGAAACCAAGAGCCCGGCGCACTATGAGAAGGAGTTCGATCGACCCTCAACTGTTTCCAACGCTACCCACACAACTTTCAATGAAATCCAGCGAACAATAACTTCCATTACTGCAATATATTAATACGAGCTGTGAAACGGAAATCTTTCCCCCTCAATTTGAACTAGATGAGAAAATCCCTTTGTACTATCTTATAAAAACCTAAACCATCCATTAAGAGCTGCGCTTGGATTCCTCAACGGGTCATTGATTCTCCCATACAACAAGTTAGAATTTGACCATTTCGCCAGGGTTGCGCCACGCACTTGATGTCCACTAGAAGATGACGAGACATTTGGAAAGATCTTCCTGGTTAAGAAATATATAGAGTCAGCAGACAATGTGATTAGTCTTACAATATGGCTATTTTTAAGCAAATTTCGGCCTCGGAAGGGACCCGAACTCGTGAGCTCTTCATCCCTTATTGTGATTAGTAAGTTATTTTCACTCACAGATCTGCTGCCATCGCTATAAATCCTCATAAGTGGAAAGGTCTGGGCAGCAAGTGGTCATGTAAATGGTAATACGACACCTGTGGCTACTGCACTACTCAGTGTTTATACTAGTAAATGCTCACATAACTTATCCGAACACAAGTCTCTAGAATATAAGGGTAAGGGTTAGGTAATGAAAGGGAAAGGTCGAGATTGCAGCAGCGAACTCGACCGTTCTTCAAATTGAGATTATTTCTCCATTATGACACCCATGGGCATTACTCTGTAGCTACAATGACAATTATCCAATCAAGAACTCTTCCCGTCACACAGATCATTTCTAACATTTTCTATTTTGTAGTACATATTCTAAAATTAACCAGAATGCCAGCTATATCCAAGGAGTTTCCAAAGAGAATAAATCAATAAAGAAGCAAAACAAACAAATAAAACGAGGTTTAAAAAAGGCCAATGTGAACAGTAAAAGTACCACACACTTTTCTAGACCTTTTTTAGTGTGTTTGCCTTGGTCTATTTTCGGAACTCTAAATATCGTTGATTCCACATCAGGGGAAGGGAGGATCTTTCTCCTAAGAATATCGAATTTCCGCAATTTCCAGTGAGTAAACATTTCCCGTTTTAAATAAAAAGGCAAGTCCAGTATTGTAAGTTAAGTAAGTTTGCGGCCAAAAGGGTGAAATAGACAATTAAATTTTGGAAAAAAGTTTTCAGCTCGGTAAAATTAATATATAAAAAAAGAAAAAAATGTTTCCAAAAAAAAGTAAAGAGCTCCCAAAAAATTGAACTTTTTCACTTTCACTTGTGGAGTTACCCCTTCTCTAGCTACACCATATCAAGTCCGGAAGAGCTCTCGGCTGAATGCTGGAGGCTTGCTAAATGCTACTTCTTCCCAGTATTTCACCGAAGCCACTAGTTTCGCACCTATTCAAAGGATTGGATGAGCCGAATCTAAAGGATAACTACGGAACGTCTGGGTTCCCATGGAATTACTGGAAATGCTGGAGAGAAGTGCCAACTTTCTAAAAAAAAAAGATGCATTCAAAACGTCACTTCCGGCGGAAATCGTTGAAATTCTATCACGAAGGGTATCAAAGTGGTCACAATCCCAGGCTCCCTTCGAAGCTATTGTCATAAGTGCCTTTTAAACCAGGAGAATGAAGCTTCGAATTAAGGTGGAGAGTTTCCAGTAGGTAACAACTCAGGTACTGGCAGACTCAATGTTCGATCTTCGGGATAAGGAACCCGAAGAATTGGAGAAAACGGAAATTCTGTATCCCCCATAAGCAGGGTCATCAAGTGACCTTCCTTTCCACTAATCCCGATTTTTCTAGCGAAAGTTGGGGCAAAGCTAAAGGTATGCAACGGATTAATCTGCCACCAACTGTAAGGTGACTGACTACAAATTAAAACCAGTGCTGCATGACCAAAGATGGTTCGCCAACTATTATATTTATTTCCAACTGCTCCCTGAGTCAGCCCCATCCCATCCACCACAGTGAATAATGAAATTTGTAATCCTCAACGACAGATTACACCAATGATTTGCATTACATAGGGCTCCGACCCTTCAGAATGTGAAACGTAGCCGTCCGGTCTTGTCACCTGTGGTGACGAGTAGGTGACATGGCAATGATCGGTGCACTAAAGTTAAACTGACATCACACCTCACAATGACTGATAGGACAGATGTGGTGACGGCTCGGACCCTCGGATTCCACTTTCCATTGAACGGCTGTAGTCGTTCGTTTCCAAATGATGTCTTTGTGACGGTGGCCTCTCACCAAGGAGAAAGGCACTCGTCCGAGGAACGGGATCTCATTAGCGGGCTCAACAACTCTCACACTGACCAGTGAGAGTATTCAGAGGTTTTTGCATAAAAAGGGATGGAGAGTTGGCACGATTCTCGGCAGTTCAAACACCTTTCAGTTAACCAGACTTGCCTATTCTGAGCCCCATGATGTTCCAACTTATGTGGTGTAGCTTTCCCTTCCATTGTGATAATTCAGGAAATGACATTCTCCAGAAACAGGCCATTATGTTTGCTAGGTCTTCCGAAGGTGAGAAAATTTGGAAGGTCCTGAAAGTCTGTTAGGTCCGGGAGGTCTGGAAAACTTTATGAAATTTAATAGGCTTCTGAGGGTCTACGTGGCCTCAGATGTCAGGGAGGTGTGGGAGTTCTAGAAAGTGTATGAAGCCTGGAAAGCTCAGAAGCTCTAGAAGGTCAGAGAAATCCGAAAGGTTCGGGAGGACTGAAAGGTTTGGGAGGTCAAGAAGGTTTGGTGAAAGTTTGAATGGCTGGGGAAACTGGAAGGACCTGGGATTTTCGGCAACTAAGAAACTTAAGAGATCTAGAAGATCTTGCCAACTACTTACAAACTCTCAGAAACTCTTTTCTGGTCCACTGAACAGGGATTTGGTAGATGAGCTTGCTAAGGGCAGAGCATAATTTCGAACCTTTCAGGATCTTTCTCATCGCTATCACATCAAGCTTCTTAAGAAGTTTCAAAACACAAAAGACTCACCTATAAATGACCAAGATCCCTCGATGATCGAAAGGAATATGGTAAAATGAAAGACGTGGATGACGACGGAGGTCATCTCATTTCTTCTTTGACAATTTTATAGTAGCAACTACAAGTAGATCCTTTGTTGTCGTTGCTGTTACTGCTCTTGCTACTGCTGCTGTGTTTTCTGTTCTCGATTCTTCTTCCACAATCTGCAAAACAGGATGTACTGCGTCGTCACCATAATTTTCTTCGCTGCCTCTATTGCCAACGCACATCGTTCCCGTGGCGGCAAGCACGGGAAAAAACGGGGGTATGGACATTGGATACGTCACGTAAACGAGCGACAGGACCGGAGATGTCGTGCGAAAACGGTGCTGATTGATGGAACTAATGAAGGTCCATCGATTCAGAGCGGCTAAAGAAACAACCGAGCAGGAGTGAGATGGGCAAAGAAAATAGTCAGACAAGAGTTAGCCCGAAAAAAAAAACTGCGGTTGATGTAAAGCTCAGCTCGAAACGTGTGACATTCGACAGAATGTTTTACGTAGCAGAGCATTAGCGGTTACTTGATGAAAGGAGGGAAGGGCAGATGAACGTAGAGATGACTGGTAGGAAGAATATTCGATATGATAGAGTTATATGAGGGAAGCATTCTTTTTAGACTTTAAGTAAAAGTTGGAAAAATAAAAATGCGATAGAAAGCCAATTATGAAAGTTGCTCGAAATGCTCTTCCAAAGTTTCGAGCTTCACCCCACCTATTCCTTCGGAGGCTACTCCTACGAAAGGGTGGTACCGCTCTCCGAAAAATCCTTTTATGAAAGAATGACAACCTGATAGAAGCAAAGGTGCTTCAGATGAATGGAGGAGCAGAACAGAGAGAGGATACACAGCTGAATGTTGTTTACAGCTGAAAGAGATGTATCTCATGAGTGAATTCACTAGAAACCATTAAATGTTAATTCTGTCACAAGAGAGGGAGAGTAAGCAAAAGATAGTGAATAAAATAACTTTTGTTTTATTTAATTTTACCTCCACTTTGAACTGAACTACACATAGCCACATGTAGAAAACAGTAAATAAGGAGGTCTATATATGGCCCATTGAAAATGAAGTCTCTGGATGTGGATCAATCTCGTCGGAAGGATGTGCCCTGTTTCGACTTCATTCCAGAATCGTAGCGACGTATTGAATCCGCATATGGCACAATGACTTGCTATGAACAGCCGAACAACCAAGT